AGATAGATAGATAGATAGATAGATAGATAGATAGATAGATAGATAGAGTATAGATTGGTGTGTGTGAGAGAGAGAGAGAGGGAGTGAGAGGGGGAGGGAGTGAGAGGGAGAGAGAGAGAGAGATGGGTAGACCTTCCAAATCTAGTTTACAATAAGATTTCCTGCTAGCATTCCGAGCTCTGAACTAAGTCCAAGATTTGAGAGGATTAACCAAGTACAGTTAAGTGATGCTACTATTACAGAAACTGCATTTTGCACTGTTGTGCTCTTGTGTTTTTATTGTCTCAGGTACCAATGTAACTTGACTAACCTTTGTGTAATGTGTGTTACCTTAAGGAACATGTTTGATTTTTGCTTGCTTGTTTTTGGCACCGAAGTTGTTTGGGAGACATTTGTGAAAAGAACGTCATATCCTTTCTCTCATCATTAGATTTCTGTCAGTTAAAGTCAAGGCTGCATAAAGTCTACTATCTTTCCACGATTTTTCATAGAATGGCTTACTGGTTGGACAGAAATACTAGCCAGCCCTCTTTTCACAAGCATTATTTGTTCATTTAGATGCTGTTTCTTGCACACTCATTTACCAAATAGTCGACAAGGCACGTGATGAAACTGCAATGATAAAAGCAATGCATTAAAACAATACAAATGCATGGTCGTTCCAAAAATACCTCAGAAACAAATGTTCATAGAAAGAAGGTCTGAATGCAGAATGTCAACCGAATATTGAGGAAGCGGCTTGGTATTTCAAGGGAAAGATTCTTCCACAGCACAAAGAGGATCCTTCAAATTAGGGGTCTCCAACCTTGTCAACTTTACGACTTGTGGACTTCAACTCCCAGAATTCCTCAGCCAGCACACTGCTAACCGTTGCTACCGGATCGCTAGAACCAGTGCGAATCAGCAGCATACCACCAATGTTGGAGACCCCTACTTCAAATAACCACAAAGCAATCTATTATCAATCTCAACTTCTTTTATCGATATCAAATGATTGACCAAATCTGTGACAACAAAAACTGTCAAACAGTTGAGTCCCTCTTATATGCAATGGGAATCCTCGACTTACAATCGTTCATTTAGCGAGTGTTGGATGTTACAACAGCACTCCAAAAAAGTGACTATGCAATTGATCCTTGCATTCGTGAGCATTGTGGTATCTCCATGGTCACATGATCAAAATTTGGTTGCTTGGCAACTGGCATTTATTTAGGACAGTTGTAGCATCCCAAGGTCATGTGATCTTGCAACCGTCATGTGACCTTGCAACCTTTGCAACCGTCCCAGCCAGCTTCGGATAAGCAAAGTCAATGTGGGAAGCCGGATTCAGTTTATGATGGCGTCAGGGGTGGTATTCAGCTCTTTCAGACCGGTCCTGGCGTACTGGCAGCAGAAATTTTGAGAAGTTCAGAGACCTGGCAAAATACCACCTCTAGCTGGCCCCGCTCACCCACCCCTTCCATTACCTCTCTTATATTCCCTTGTTTTTTAGCTCAGCCAATTCACATGGCAGAATGCATTGCCGTGGCTCAGCTGAGCTAAAAAAACAGCTCAACTCACCAATGCTGACAGAGAGGGCGGTCTCTGAGCCCTACATGCATGCGTGTGCACAAAGCGCACTCTCATAGAACTGGTTGGAAAAAATTTGCAAAACCACCACAGGACAGCATGATACTCTTAATAACCGCTGTGATTCGTTTAATAACTATGGCAAAAAAAAAAAGTTTATAAAATCAGACCCAATTCTGTGATGACCCAGGGTGGGATACAAAACAAACACGGTCACAGAAAACAGGTGAAGCCCCTTTTATTCCTTCACTTTGCTTCTAAGCTCCAAAGATTCTTGACGGAAGCCAAAAAACTTCCACACAAACAGTTACAAGAAGAAGGGAAAAAGCAACACAAACCAGGCAAGATAAGGGCTGGAGGATGTCCACAGATAACACACACTGGGAAGGACACCAAACTCAGAGAGGAACCATAACTAGAGATATTTCCATGCTTTGTTTCCAGCATTCGCTCGTACGCATCTCCATCCTCTTATTCAGTTGTCACATCTGTAGCCCATGAAGAGGATCAGGGCCCTCTCCTCCCAAGTAGACCATGTTTCTCCCTTATCCTCTCCACCCTGCATGCCCTAGGATGGAGAGGAGATGGGCCTGGGTCTTCCTCTTTCTGCTCAGCTGGCCTCTACCCTTCCCCAGCCTCCTCCACAACCTCTGGAGCCACATTTCCACTCCCTGTCAGCTGTTCCTCCTCTCCTTCCACCAGCGGCATGACAAATTCACTTATCAATGGCCTTGCTTAGCAATGGAAATTCTGGTCTCAATTGTGGTCATAAGTTGAGGACTAACTGTATACTGTTTGTGACAATGTTTCACAACCTTAGCCCTTATAAGATATGTGGACTTCAATTTCTAAGAATTCCCTAGCCGTCAGGCTTCAGATTTTGCCAAGGTTGAGAGACGATGGTTTATGAATATGGAAGTTCTGCAACCATTTTGGCTCATCCCCGGGTAACATTACATTTAGAGTAGAATGATTTTTGCATTTTGTAAAATGCAATTTTAATCTGGTGCCTCTAAAAACCACGGTGTAAGGAAACCTTTAAAAATTTAAAAGCATGCTTAATATAATTATGTTCTATTCCATCCTTCCAAGCTTTAGTGTGCTGAGCTCAAATGAGAGAACGGGGTGGGGGGGTGGATTTTAAAATCCTGTCTACTCACAAAGCTCAATATTTCTGCTTCCACCAACCCACAAGCTTTGGGGCCGTTTTATTTCCAAGTCACCCCAGTTTGTGTTCTTTGTCCTGAACCACAATAATTGGACTGTGTTCCCTCACACACCAAGGCTCTAATGCGGTTTGCTGGGCTTTAGATTTGTGAAACCAAACGTTGTGGTTTATAAAAGTCAATGGCCGGGTCCTATTTACACTCCAGACCATTATATCTTGTTCAACAAACCATGGTTTAGTGTGATGCCTGAAACCAGTCCATGTGCCTGAGAGAAAAAAAGCTAAACTACTGAGGAAGATATAGCAGGAAAGAAAATAAGGCTGCTTTGTTTACAATTACAAATGTTTCAATAAACTGTAAATAAGAACAAAACCCATTAAAACTAGCCATTCAAAACTTCTTCTGCAATCTTATAAACTTATTAGGATTCAAGTTTTTTTCCAAAGGAAAATAATGATCAAGCCATTATAACTTTGAACAGTCACAAAATGAAAGTGGACTACCTATAATGCTTATGTAAAAAGGATCATAGCCTCTCATGTGAAAAGCCTTAGGTCCTTTGTTTTTCTTATCACAGAAATGATGGATTTGGGAATAATTTCGTGGGGGAAACAGTGACAATTCATGTGATAGCAATAGCACTTAGACTTATATACCGCTTCACAGTGCTTTATGGTCCTCTCTAAACAGTTTATGGAGTCAGCAGATTGCCCTTAGCAATCTGGGTCCTCATTTTACTGACCTTGGAAGGACAGAAGGCTGAGGCAAACTTGAGTCCTGTCAGGATCGAACTCCAGGCTGTAAGAAGAGTTTGCCTGCAATGCTGCAGTCTTAACTATTGCACCCATGTAAGCCAGAATGAGACAACTTGCCAAACCAACTTGCCCAAGCCACAGAACAACTTGCTGCAGGACGATTCAACCACTGCAAAAGTTAAATTAATTCCACCGGAACCATGGCCAATAATAATAAAATAAAGAAAGCCAATTCAGAAATACAAGAGTTATGATAATTTCAATCAAAACATGGTCACCAATAATAAAAGTAAGAGAATGAAACAATTGATAGAGTGTTGAATTGTCATGTGGCAAGTTGACCGTGGTGAATTTTCCTGTGGCAAATGGACTGTGGAGACTTGGCTGAAGCAAGTTGGCCATGGTGAGTTGGCTATGGCGAATTGGCCATGATGAGTTATCCTAGAGTCTGTAAGCAAGTAGCTGAGGGTGCCTTTTAAGCAGGCAGCAGTGGTGGTATGCTACCGGTTCTCACTGGTTTGACCAAACCGGTAGTAAAAAAAAGCCCACAATCAGCTGAAAAGGGGAAAAAAATCTTCCAACAATCAGCTGAGAAGAAAAAGAAGAGAAAAGGGCAGGATCGGTCCTCCCACCCACCCCTGTGCTTTTCTCTTCTTTATCCTCTCAGCTGATTGGTGCTGCAGGTCTCAGCTGGTGTGGGGAAAGCTGTGCACCAGCATTAGGCAAAGCACACCCACCAAGCCACGCCCTTGTGGGAAAGCAATTTGAATCCCACCACTGGCAGGCAGGAATTGTTAATACGATCCTCCCCTTCAAAAAGAAGAGCCAAGGGCATGCAAAAACCTCCTTTTTCCATTTGGCACCTAACTTAACATCCTACCCCTTAGGAATTAAGGGGAGAGCAAGTGGAGTGGGGTGGGGAACGAAAGCCAGACAGTGTTCCTTGACAGCTCTGAATTAAGATATTCCAGCTTTTTATAGAACTGCTTCCAAATCCATGAAAGTGAAGAGAGCAAATGTAATTGGTATGCAGGATGTATCCCCGCTCAAAGGTAGCAGAACTAATGCTGTCCCGTTAATGAACTGAGTGAGTAATAGCCATGGGTATAGAAAAGCTTATGTCTGAAACTAATCCCAGTTAATGAATCCATTGTTACAGGTATTAAATGGTGACAGGGGGGCTTCATCCATCAAACCTCCATTAATCACAGCATCCCCGCCTTCGCTTATTATGGAGGCGCCAGAAAAGGAATCTTAATGATATTATTAAGAGACCAGTTGTGCAACGTGACCTGGGATGAGCAAAGGATTTCAGGTGAGGAGGGTCCGGAGGGATGAGCATTTTGAGAGGTGACCGGGCAGCCTCCTCTCTGCTGGGGATTGTATCATCTTGCCTCTGCTGCCTCCGTTTGTTTGAGAATAGCATGCCGCAGTCTTGGTGCCCTCACTCTGGTCTCCTCATCCTTTTTTTAAAGCAAACCATGCCTGCACCAGGCATGAGAAAAACCACAGCTATGTTTGCAAAAACAAAAGGCATCCCGTGGATTTTACTCCACTAGTCGTTACCAATTCAGTGCTCATCTCCATTTCAAGGCTACTCAGCCAGCGTTGTCCAAAGACTTTTCCATAGCCAGCATGATATCATGGGATACTGTTAGCTTCCCACCAAAGTGGTACCTATTTATCTACTCACATTTGCATGCTTTCGGGCTCCTAGGTTGGCAGGAGCTGGGAAGAAGAGGGGAGCTCAACCCTGTCGGCATGGCGCTCGGGTCTCAAACCTGGCCTGCAGGCTTTCCAGCCAACAAGCCCAGCGTCTTAACCGCTGCTTCACTGCTGTGCTGCCCTATATTTGCAAAACATGCCAGTTATTTGAACAGCTCCTCTGAAGAACACTATTTATCCACACGTTCACAGATCAGCAGAGCATCAGGAGAGACCAAAGCCCTTCAGGATGTAGAAAATCAAGCCACCAATAGAAAAAGAGAGGAGGGCTGGCTCCATTCTTCTTCCACCAGGATGAGAATGCACAGATTTTGTTGGCACAAGGTTACAGGTGGTCCTTGACTTAAGACTATTTGTAAGCCTCAGTGGCACAGTGGTTAGAGTGCAGTTCTGCCGGCTACTTCTGCTGACTGCCGGCGGCCTGCAATTTGGCAGTTCATATCTCACCAGGCTCAGGTTTGACTCAGCCTTCCATCTTTCGAAGATAGATAAAATAAGGACCCAGATTGTTGGGGCCAATAGGTTGACTCTGCTTAGAGAGGGCTGTAAAGCACTGTGAAGCGGTATATAAGTCTAAGTCCTATTGCTATTTGTTTAGTGGTTGTTCAAAGTTACAATGGCACTGAAAAAAGGTGACTTGTGGCCTTTTTTCATACTTACGACCATTGCAGCATCTCCATTTGGATGCTTGGCAACTGGTTCATATTTATAATGGTTGCAGATCACCTTTTGTGACCTTCTGACCTTCAGTGGGGAAGCCAGATTCACTTAACAACTGTGTTACCAACAACTGCAGCGATTCACTTAGCAGCTGTGGCAAGAAAGGTTGTAAAATGGGGTGGGGGAAATCACTTAACAACAGAAATATTGGGCTTAATTGTAATCATAAGTTGAGGACTACCCACACTGAGCTCCTGAAAAAAAATGTCTTACCAACTGGAGGAGTTTAGAATGCAGGGGAAAGCACAAAATATATCCTCCATCCTGCCTCCATGGTTAGCTTTTCCAAATGTCTGCAAAGAAGCTTAGAAAAAGCTAAAAGTTCAACAAACTCTGGAAAAAGATCAAAATATTGTATTTGGGAGCCTGATTAATGCTTAGGAGAGGGCTTAAGAGTTATTTTTGTTTAAGTCTCCTGGTGGTTTCAAGACCTATCTCTGAATTTTTTTTAGCCAAGTATGGAGGTAGTTTGTCACGGCCTTATTCTTTTTCTTCCTTTTAATTTCCTGGTCTACTTTCTTTTCCTGAAATTCCCTAATGCTTCCTCATTCAAATATTAGTCAGGCCCACTCCTGCTTAGTTTCCCTGGGTTTGCACATCATGCTAAGCCATAATCATAATTTACAAACCACATGGGTTTCACCGCACACTGAGGCCAAAATGAAACAAATCAGATTATAACTTAGCATGATGTATGATCCAGTCAGTAAAATCTGGCACCAAAATCTGAATCGGATTTACAAATCTGAAATTGGGAAAACCAACATACTGTACTGCTGGGGTAATCTCCACTTTCTTAAAGGGGGAAATCCTTAGATATTTTTACCAGAGTTTACTTTATTTCAGAGAATATGCCCCGAAGTATATATATTTGCTCTATGCAAATATATTTGAATGTATATAATACATCTGTCTGTCATCTGCACCACTAGAACTGTCTGGTTTGGTTCTGCAACCCAACAAGACAGACACAGACTTCAGAGAGTAATTAGGACTGCAGAAAAAAACATTTCTACCAACCTGCCTTCAATCGAGGACCTATATACAGCACGAGTCAAAAAGAGGGCTGTGAAAATATTTACAGACCCCCTCACATCCCGGACATAAATTATTTCAACTCCTACCCTCAAAACGATGCTACAGAGCACTGCACACCAGAAAAACTAGACACAAGGACAATGCCATCACTCTGCTAAACAAATAATTCCCTCAACACTGTCCAACTATTTACAAAGTCTGCATTATTATTACTATTAATCTTCTCATCACTCCTTATCACCCATCCCATCCCACTTGTGACTGTATGACTGTAACTTTGTCACTTGTATCCTTATAATTTATACTGACTGTTTCCTAGTATGATTTGATTACGTATTGTACCCTATGACTATTATTAAATGTTGTACCTGATGATTATTGACTCTTGACGAATGTATCTTTTCTTTTATGTACACTGAGAGCATTTGCACCAAGACAAATTCCCTGTGTGTCCAATCACACTTGGCCAATAAAGATTTCTATTCTATTCTATAAATGCCAAACATATATGGAAGTCAGGAAGTTTGCCCCAAGGATTACAGTTTAACAATACACACAACAAGCTTACGCACAGTTAACTTAATCAAGTTCTACTAATTTAGTTTTCTGAGTTTGCACAACATCCTGAACCAGAAACTAACCACATGGGTTGGGTTTTATAGACTGTAAGGAAGATGACTTGGAAGGAGATATGCAAAATCTGTTGCCAAGGCAACAAGGGATGAAACCTTTTTAAAGTCCAGATTGCCTAGATAATGCTTGGAAATGGCTCAGATAGATACCTCCCTAATTCACTGAAGAGGGAAAGAGATACAGCACAGTGAGATTTGCAAGCTTCTGTTATTATAGCCAGTCTTGATAAAATTAGATTTAAACTTCTTATGTAATTGATTTTGAGGCCTGGTCGACCTAGTGGGATTGATAGGTTGACACATCAGCCAAGCCAAAATGTAGTATCTGCTTCAATGTGTCATACAGTAAGTGTGAATATAAGTGCATTCTAGTTCTACAATTCACACACACAATTAACTTATTAGATAAAAGCGATCAGAAGATAATGAATGATGTTAATAAATAATGACAAGCATAGAATTTCATTTTTCTCCCTCTCTCATAATACTAGCAGTCACAATCATCCAAAAATAGTGGCTAGGTACCACTTTGGTGGTGGTGGGGAAACAATGCTCCATGAGGTCATCCTGGGCACATGACCACCTTAACATCTTCCAACAGTGCAGACTTGTGGTCTTGAATAGGAGAGATGAGTGCCGCCTCCTATAGTCAGGAATGATCGGAATAAAATCCGCAGGGACTCCTTTTCTTTCCTTCCTTCCATTTATATATCCAGGGTAGAGCCCTTTTTTTCCTTGCTAATCTTTCCCCTTTTTTACATTTATGTTCTACTGGTCATTCTTGCCTGACAACTGCAAACGAGCCCAAAATCTCCATGGCTAAGCAAGACAGCGAATGTTAAGTGAATTTTGCCCCGTTTTAGGATCTTCCTTGCCGCAAGTATTAAGTGAATCATTGCAGTTGTTATGTTAGCAGTACAGTTGTTGAATCTGGCTTCCCCGTTGAGTTTGCTTGTCAGAAGACCGCAAATGCGATCGTGTGACCCCAACACACTGCAAATTACATGCCAGTGACCAAGCATCCGAATGTTGATCAATTGATGCTGCAACGGCCGTAAGTGTGAAAACGGTCGTAAATCACTTCAGTACCTCTGTAACTTCAAACAGTCACTAAACGAATGGTTTTAAGTCAAGGACTATCTGTATTCTTTTTTTCATGGGACCCAAGGGCACAGTACACGTCTCATTTAGATATGCCTGGATGCAGCAACATGGGTTTGATCATCCTGGGTTGATGGCTTGACTGCCCTTATTTTTTATTTTTACTTTGAAGCAAGATGGCTGCTAATAAATTTGCCCAGGAAGGATCCGTTGCCTTGAAGCAAGGATTAGATAAATATAGGCTATACTCACTGTCAACTCATAAACCATTCATATGCCTGTTTTAGTAGTTGCCACAAAAAAGTGGGGAGGGAAATCTGGAAGACCAGTGCAGCAGCTTGAAAGTGAAAGTACATTCCAACTCTTACCTTTAAAATATTGTAACTAAAATACCAGAGTTTTTGCCCGCAAATATATTTAATTGAATTATGACACCCAGCCCATGAACGTGCTCAATTGAAGAATCTGGTTTATGAGACACCCTGGTGGGAGGGGAGAATCATGATTCTCAAGCCAAACTTCAAAAAACTTCATAGGATCGGCAACATACAGAGCAGTGCCAGTATGTCGCCTTAATAGATCCTTCGAAGTTTTTTGAAGTTTGACTCAAGAATCATGATTTAATTAGAGCAATTGCTGGAATCCTGACACTCACATTTTGTGCTAAGGTACTAGAAGTGGGTTAACTATAGATTCTGGAATAGATCATAATAAGGACAAGCCACAGTTTGCAAATCACAGTGGTCAGGTGCAGATTTCCCACTAACTGAAAACCAAGGATACATGATGGATCAACAAAATGTATGAACCCATAAAGGTTTGACTGTGAATTCATAACTGTTAGTAATAATCCTAGTTAACCATTATGTGCCTTCGACAGTCACTCGCATTTATCCAACCATTTTGTAGAAGATGGGGGTATATAACACCAGAGAAACTAGTGTCCTGCAAATGACAAATCCTATGGGATACAATAAGTCTGACTAGGGATAAAGGCTTTTGCAGATAGTTTTATTTGGCATGCCAAGAGCTGCATACATAACATAAACTGGACCATGCTGAGTGATTCTGTGTTGTATAAATAAAGTGGAGCGTAAATCAATCAATTGTGCTGTGCTGGCAAGGATTAACCAGATATTTTTAATATTCTAGAATGATGTTTTTCAACCTCAGCAATTTTAAGATGTATGGACTTCAACTCCCAGAATCTCCCACCATCAGAAAAGTGGGTGCTGAGATGCGACATTCTGCTAGAAGGCTGTTCTGTCAACCTTGCTTTTTGGTCAGATCACAGTTCCATTTGTTTTTATTTGTTTGTTTTGTGCACTACCTCAACTTACAAAAGGGGCAATCTTAAGTTGCAACAGTGCAGTGCTGCCTTACCCATGTGGATCAAAGTACTGAATCCTATAACTACCCTAAATTCCTGAAGGAAAGACAGGATGTACAGCTTATAAACAAATACATAAACCTGGTTAAAAGATGTTGATAAGACCCATGGTAAATGCATGCATTATAATTTGAGCATGAATGTAAAATATTTTTATTTAATATGTTTAACTCTCATTGCTGCTTTTAAAAGTATGTCACCAAGCCTCCTTTTACAATGCAGTCCTTAGCATAGTCTTCATATTAGGAGACTGTCTTTGACCACACCTAAATTATAATCCTGTTTTATGCTAGAGATCAGGCTCATTTAAGATCAGGAAGTGGTTAGCAGGACATTTATTCAACACTTCTCTCTCTATTTACTATATCCCCCATTTCCGATATTAAAACCACTTCCCCTATTTGACAAGATTCCATTTAACCACTTAATTGCCAAAATGAAAGATTTTTTCCCCCTTAATTCTTCCAAAAAGTTAGCCAGAAGTCTCAGAAAAATTAAACTCAAATCATAAACGTTCCTCTGCTTCAAAACTGAGTGGTTGGTCAATTGACTGATTTACACCTCATCTTTCTATTCAATTTGAGTATTTAAAAATTGCAAAATTTAGCAAGGCTTCTGCAATGATGTTTTAAACTGAATCCAAAGACAGGGAATGCTGGTTTATTACACCCATCTGATATGTCCTTGCTAACTCCTTGTAAAGTTGAACCACAATGAACCTTTCTCATGCTTTCCGGTAGAGGAATTTGAAATGTGAATGAAGACTTTGACTTTTTCATTTCGTTCAGTCACCCAGATTTCTGTTCTTTGAATTTGGCTGGTCGTTGGGTCCCTCTGTAGGCAAAGTTGTACTATTACAATAACTCATATTTTTGCTGCGAGGGGGAAAAGCACCCAAGTTTGTTAGATTTGTGTATAGCTGCTCTACTGCACATATGGGGCACAGAGAAAGGCTGAGTTCACACAACCATCTTCATTGGGTGTTGAAATGAAGTCATTTCTGGGTTTAACAACAACCTAAACCACAAAAGAATTTTATAAAATCAAAGGAAAGTGTGTATTGGGAATGTAGTATCTTATCTGAATTGACAAGGTTCAGTGTGTTACCAGAATACAGTGAAAAGATGCTCTTCCCCTTTCATAAAATGTTACTGGAATGGGTAGGTGACTTTGACTTAACTTCTATTCCTCCCAGGTTCCTATCTTCCCACTCTTATTCTTAAGGAAAAAAATATAAACATAGAGTTAGCTATTACGAGTAGGAGATCTCCACCAGGAAGCAACTAAAGCAGTGGTGACATGCTACCGGTTTGGCACGGTTCGACTGAACTGGTAGCAAAAATTGCTACCAATTGGGCCGAACTGGTAGTAAAAAAGCTCCAACGATCAGCTGAGAGGAGAAAGAAGAGAAAGCATTGGATTGGCTCTCCCAACTGCCCCTGCAATTTTCTGTACTTTATCCTCTCCGCTGATTGATGCAGCAGTGCCTCAACTGGTATTTGGAAAGCTGCATGCGCACAAAGTGCGCGATCACCAAACCAGTAGGGAAACTGGTAGAATCCCACCACTGAACCAAAGGGAATGTGTCCATGTGTATTAGAACAACCTCCAAACAGTGTGAATCTAAGTGCAACATGGCCAGAGCAGATATTTAATGATAAAGTTTACCTTTTGCATGAAGTTCCTATATCTCAAAGTTCTTGGCATTTTCACAGAAATCTGGGAAGCCTTCCCTGCATGAAATCTGGGAAAGTCAATCTAAGTAGAGGCTGGTTCACACTTCACACCAAGTCGTGGTTTGTTGACTAAAGCACAATGGTTGTATTCCCCCAATAGCCATAATCAAGCAAATGTTATTATGACTTTGCCAGAGGGAGAATGTTGGACTCCTGCCTGGAATCCTCTGATTTATTCATTGGGTTTGCATCGAACAGAGCAAATCCATCCGAGTTGAACCCAGCTCCTTAAGACAAACACTTGAACTCCAAAAGATCGAGTCAACTTTATTTCACAGAAAGCTGAAATCTCTGACTTTTCTATCCTAGTCCTATGGGAGCAGAGCAGAGGTGGTATTCAGCAGGTTCTGACCAGTTCTGGAGAGCCAATAGTGGTAATTTTGAGTAATTCAGAGAACCAGCAAATACGACTTCTGACTGGCACTAACCCCCATCTATTCTCTGCCTCCCAAATTCCAGCTGATCGGCTGGGTCTTCTTTGGTTGCCCTGTACAGGAGAACAGAGCTGGAAAGCAGGTTAGTGAGGTGGGGAGGGAATGGGGGTTTTATAGTAACTTTCCGCTGCCACGCCCACCAAGCAACACCCACAGAACCGGTAGAAAAAAAAATTAATCCCCCCACTGGAGCAGATAAGACAGAACTATTCTATCGGAAACAAACTAAAGAAGAGAGCCTTGAAAAGGGCATAGATGTGCTATGGAGCAGCGTGAAAAACCTTAAATCTCCTTCCATCTACAGGTGGCTCAGTTTTGAAGCCATCCTGCTTCATACTGTACCTTTCAAAAGCTGCCTTAAAACATTCTCAAGCAGTGCAGGCCATCGGAAGAAAACCTCAGTAGGATCCTCAGAGACATTTGCTGCCTTGTCACTTTTTCTGCTGAGGTGGCAGAATGTCCCGCTGATAAGTGAACCAGAGTTCAATCTTAATGGTATAAAGTGGAAGATCCATAAAATGGAAGGCTTCTCCAAACAATGTTAGCACTGGCTTTGAAAGGAGCAAAGGACCCCTGAAATGCTGAGATGGGACATTTGTAATATATGCTGCATTTAAAAAAAAATAGTGCAACTTCTCCTCAATAGGAGGCTCGCTCTGTCATGATCAGAGAGAGTTTGAATTCATGAGTGAGAACAGAACCAGACTGACACGTAAAAAGTATTTTTTTTTCCCCTTGGGAAGAAGTCTCTGTTTTGCTATCGGTGAGACCCTGCAAAGAAAATGGTCCCAGCATTATCAAAATAGCCCATTCCATTTCTTGATCCTCCGGTTTATCCAGTTAAAGCAACATGCCAGGTGCTTCAGATTTTTTTTTTCCATATTCTTACTCTTGTGCAAATATTCTGCAAATACAACTGCTAGTTCAGCTAAAATACATAGGAATAAGTTGTAAGAATCAACAGCAGTCAGTCAACATATGCATGGATCCTGCATTGCCTTTGAAAAGAAAAGTAAACCCACTGAAAAGTTTGGGCACTTCTTGGGGAACTGGGTTTTTTAAACCCCCTTGAATACCATAGAAAGTGATCCAATGATGCTATAATATCACAAAAGAAAACAGGTTACCTACTGCTAAATGCATCTTATTTAGGTCTGCGGTGGGAGTCAGAAAAATTTACTACCATTCTGTGGGCATGGCTTAGTGGACATTGCATGGCTTGGTTGGCATGGCAGAGAAAGGATACTACAAAATCCCCATTCCCTCCTCACCCCACTAACCTGCTTTCCAGCTCCGTTCTCCTGTGCAGGGCAACCAAAGAAGACCCAACCAATCAGCTGGGACTCAGGAGGAGGAGAATAGATGGGGCAGAGCCAGTCAGGGGTGGCATTTGCCGGTTCTCCAAACTACTCAAAATTTCCGCTACCAGTTCTCCAGAACTGGTCAGAACCTGCTGAATACTACCTCTGGTTTAGGTTTATGCTTGTTTGAGTTAGATTAGGCTCCATCATCCTTCCAGCTCCCGCAAAAGATATGAAAATGTGCCACTAAAATTCCGCTATTTTGATGCCAAATTTAAGCCCATGAACAGGGGGTGTTGAGAGACAGAAACTAGATTCTAGGGGTGAGCTATGACTCAGAGGCCTCGAAAGCCACCCACAGTTCTTCATAGGATGCAAAAAATATTTAGACAGCCGCCAGGTTTCAGAGGCCAGGTTCTCAAAAAAGATTTTATTGCATCTGAGCACAGGATTCCAACTACAAAATGCAGTTATAATCGGATCAGGTTAGTGGCATACATTTGCTATTCAACATGTGGGATTTGGGGTTTTGCGTGTTTTAGGAACTTAGCCATTATGATTGGAAAACTGTAGTTTATCTTGGCGTGTTGTAGAAACCCAGCTGACCGTAATGAATTTGCTACTGAAGTCATGGACTATTACAGTGAAGGAATTCAGTGTGTCTATGCTGATTGGCAAATGATAGAACTTCATTTCTTTGTATGGGAAATTGATTGGAGGAGACTGATATAGATGAGATGACAGACTTAATAGAAGTGTAATTTTAATCTCTCCTTTTTTAAAAAGATATTTAAAGCAATACGTTTTAATGCCAATGTTTGTTTTCTTCTTTATATATGCTATCCCAGCTACCAATTGAAAGGAAGCACAATAGAAATAAACACATAGGATTGAATTTGTTTAAGTAATCACCAAGCCTAGGATTAATTGGTTCACGCCAGATTAGCTAACAGCAATTATTTGCAGGTTTCATCCACTCTACAGACCTGCAGCAAGTTAAGACTCAATCCTGCAAGCCAGTTTGAATAGCTGCACCTGGTAGACATTTCTTTTTGCAATAACTGGACGTGCTTCCAGATTTTATAGGAGAGGATCAGGAAGCTCCTACTATCAAGTAAACATCTAGCACCCTCCACTGGAGAAAAAATATATACATCTTACTCTTGGAAGCACCAAAGTGCTCAAATTACCTGAAAGATTCAGTTGCCAAGGAAACCGTGCGCTCTGCTCTTTATCGTGTTATGCACATTTACTTTGGCAGTGTTACCCCTCTGCGTATCAGGCTCTGGAGCAGGACTGAAGCATGTACTGGGGGAAAAATGGTAACTGACTTGATCTATGATTCAGAAGCTCCAAAAAGCCATTCGCAGCTGCTCATAAAATGCACACAGATCCTTTAGACCACGTTGGGTCCTCAAAAAAAGATTTTATTACATTTGAACACAGAATTTCAACTACAAAATACATGGGTACCATATCAGGCTAATGGCACATATGTGCTATTCATTAGACATGCAGCAAAGACATATTTGCGAGCAGTTCTGTAGGCTGAAGCCAAGTTCTCAAGTTCATTTCAAACATAACTTCAACACTGATAAAAGGGGGGAACTACCAGACTAGGTTCAGGCATCATAAAAAGACATAGGCTTTGCTTTGAGTTTGTATGTTTTAAGAATCCAACCACTGTGACTTGCCAACCATGATTTATGATGTTGTCTAATAAGATCTGAAGCCAATCACGACTTAATAAATAAGCCATTCTTAAAGAAACTGTGGTTTAACGTAGAGAATAAGGGGGATGATCTTGAGAAAAGTATGCAGAAATTATTACTTAGGCAAAGGGGGCTTTCCTTTCTTTCTTTTAAATCCAGAGCAAAGAGATAACATTCAGAAACAGTTCAAGAAGACATCTCCCTAAATCACTGAGCTATAAGGAGACTTGCAAGATTCTGCTATTGTAACATTTCTCAATAAAGTATATTCTAATTTTATTTTATTTTTTTCTGTGGAGTTGATTTTTGGTCTGGTCTACCTAATGGGGCTTCCATTTATTTGACATGCAGACTAGGCCATGGATTGAAGACTGGGAATCTGTGTTAAATCCTGATTTCTAGAAATCATTAATAAGACCAACTAACATTAGTCTAAAAGGAACTGCTGCCTCATTGAGCTAGTTTGGAAACAGTTCTCATTATACTTCTAGAGTATCAAAGATACTCATGTATTCTATCTCATGTACAAGTAATAATATAGTAAATAAAGTAAATATAGATATAGTAAAATAAGGGGGACGAGCGGTCTGCCACCTCCAAGTGGTGTCCCCTGGATGCGCGAAGCCGTCAAACGCTAACCGTAACTGAGAGCAGACCCTCCGACGACAGGCCCACGCGACAGGCCGGCTGGAGTACTCAAATGCCGCATCAACATGGTGGAAACGTCCACTACAAAACACACGTCCAATGCTACCGCGTTCGGGGCGACTGCATCCGGGTCCGATGCGCACGGAGACTACCCGATCCGTGTGAAAAAACGCAAGCGGGGAACAGAGGACTGCCAGATGCTCAAGGTGGCCACCTGGAACGTGGATTCGCTGACTGGACGCTCGACCGAGATCGTCAGGGCCATGCGGGACAGGAAGCTGGACATCTGCTGCCTCCAGGAAACTCGCTGGAAGGGCAACAAGGCTACGACTATAGACGGCTACAAGATCATATACACCAGCTGTAAGGAAAACCGCGGCGGTGTAGCTGTGGTTGTCAGTCCAAGCTGGCAAAGTTCCGTCGCAGAAGTTAAGCGCCTCACAGAACGACTGATGATAATCGTCGTAGCGACCGAGAGGCAGCGCCTACACATCTTGTCCGCCTACGCCCCTCAGACCGGATGTCATGAGGAGGAGAAGGATACCTTCTGGGAACTGCTCGACAGCCAACTCAGGCAGATCCCACACGAAGACGACATCATCATCTCGGGCGACCTGAATGGTCATGTAGGGCGGGACAAAAACGGACACCAGTGCCACGGTGGGCACGGCACAGGCGATAC